GACTTTGACTTTTGTGGAAAGACAGGAACAAGGCCACCTACCATTCGAACTTGACAAGAATAAGGAAGGAAAACGTCAAAGAAGAAAGGACAAATTGCCAGACGGCGTTTCGGACCACAATGTTCACTCGGTCATGCAGGAGTTGCGTTGGAAACCGCTGGTTTTCGCTTTCATGTTATTTCCGTTGTTTTTCGATTTTAGATTTGAATTTTTGGATATATGGCTGATGATTTTAATTGAAGTGTTTGACACCTGATGACTGGTGCTGCATGTGCAGGATTTGATGCGAACTATTCATTCTATGTTGCCTCTGGAAAGAATTATTTGGGCCAACCGGGTGACGCCTTCTGGGAAAGTATTCTGTTGGGAAGCTACAAGTCAATGTGCCTACAACTTTGCGACTTCAGATCGCCTCATTGCTTTGCTGAAGCACATGAAGGGCGAGTGGTTCTATCCCGGAGAGAAAGAAGAAGGGGGACGCATTCGCTATGGGATTCGCCCAGATTATCTCAACGACGTGATCGAAGGCGTTTGCTGTTGGATGCTTCCAAGAGCTGGGCCTTCTGTGCAGAATGAGGAGCATTGGCAAAAACACCTCTTATTCCATGACTTCGAAATGACTGCACAGGAGATTAAGCAACTGGTTCGAGCAGCTGTGATCGTGACTTTGTTTCGATGGCAATGGATCACTTGTTGGATTGAAGTGAGAAAATCTGTGCGAGATGATGCGCGGGATGCGCTGTAGTGCCATGTGTTTGTTGCCGTGCGCTTTTGCGTTCAGTACTCATTGCGGAAGGGACTGTCCGAGCAATGGGGAAATAACGCAGTTTCACTGGCATCGTCTGCACGATCGCGCTTCGCGGCTCTTGCTTCGAAAAAGACAGAGTTTAGTGGTTCATCTCTGTGCGAGGTGCATTGTCGTCAATCAAAATTTGATGTGAATGCATGTGTTTGAGACGCGGCATGCGGCACCGAGGATATCAGGGCGTGACGCTGCATGCCACAGTTTGCCGAGATCTCACGGACAGGTGTCATCATGAACGGTTTGTTTTTGATTTGCTGTAGTGAAACTGTGAGTTTAGGCGTGTGGAGTTGTCATGTTGAACTGGAAGTTGACTGTAGACTTGTCTGTCGTTGGTTTGGGAAGAACTGTAAGCGGTAGAGTTCACAGTCTAGAGATCAGCATCGACATAGATTTGCAGTGAGTGTCAATCCACATGTAAGGCATCGGTGTCGCGAAGCCATTTTCTTTGCTGAGTCTGGGAAGCAATCTCGGTTTGAACTCAATGGAGGATAGTATTCGTCTGTGGATAGCTCTCGCCCCACCACAGATGGAGGAGCTGCGGACGCATCATAGAATCCAGCCAGACATCTTTACCTCCAGGATCGATTTGAGTGCGACTCAAATGCCTCTTGGGCGTGCCACAGATGTTCAATGGTGTCACACTTACAACTACTTCGATTACAGCTTCCTCCAGGTAGAAATAACTGCTCTGGGTTACTTTCGAAAGATGGAGGCAAATGTCTTGGAGAAGGTCCAACCTGGTGAGTTTCGTTGGTATGGATTTCTTGTTCCAGAAGAACGTGATGAGCACGGAAGATTGCTCTATCAGATCATCGACCCCATGGTTGCTAATGAGCCGGTTCGTGAGCGTCCTGCTAGGAACTGAGGAATGCGAGATGATGCGCGGGATGCGCTGTAGTGCCACGTGTTTGTTGCCGTGTGCTTTTGCGTTCAGTACTCATTGCGGAAGGGACTGTCCGAGCAATGGGGAAATAACGCAGTTTCACTGGCATCGTCTGCACGATCGCGCTTCGCGGCTCTTGCTTCGAAAAAGACAGAGTTTAGTGGTGCATCTCTGTGCCAGTGTATCAAAATATTTTCTATCAAACATTCTTCTATATGAATGCAATTCTTTGACACGGATCATGCGACAGTGAGAATATCACAACGTGACGCTGCATCTTGCATGACCTGGGTCAGTGAGGCGCAGCTCTCATTCAGGATCGAAACTGGTGTTGTGTTTTCCAGTCAAAAAAATCTCAGGACCCGTGTTCTGTTGGCATTCTATTGATTGTGTCGTTCACTACGGCACTACACCAAGGCCACGACCTACGAGTGTTGCTCAATGCCTTTGATTTCGTCTGTAACTCTTTTTTTTGTTTCTGACTTGGCTTTTGCACTTGGCCTCTGTTGCAAGCATCTGCAGACATTTCACTCGTGAAGCATCATTGTACCGATCTTTTTGGATCATTCTTGTGGGATTGTCTATGCGAAAATGAAACAACGGGTGTCATACGTGACATCATGGTACCGAGCTTTCTGGGATGATTTGCGTGATCAGTAGATGACATTGATTTGAACTTTTTTCAAGAAAAAAACAGTAAGATTGTGTGTTGCTCGTGACCGCTTTCTCGTTGCTTGTGTCTTTCGCCATGGAAGTATGCTACTCTGCTTCCGGTGAGCTGGTCGTGTCTCTGCCAGCCGATGTGGTGGAAGGGAAACCCGTAAAGTGGATTAAGGGCAGCATCGCCGCTGCAATTGGCATGTCTCGACATCGACTGAGATTGTTTCTGCACGAGGCATTGCTCGGCGATGCTTACACGTTTACTTGTGCCTATGGACCATTGGTTGTGCAGCTCGTGATTTTGCCGTTTGTGACCCAGCATGCGACCGCGTCATCCTCGTCGTCCGATGGCGTGGAAATTCGGTTGCAGGAGCTGCGTAGCAGTGCTGTGACCAGGGGTCGTGAATGGCCCCAGGATGCCCTGGCAAACATTTCTGTAATGGAGCTTCGCAAAATGGCACATGCTCGGAATGTTGGCACATGCCGGTCCACGGCCAACATTCCGAGCATGTGCCATTTTGCGAAGCTCCATTACAGAAATGTTTGCCAGGGCATCCTTACAGTTTCGGGTCCATAGAGGAGTGGCCATTGGACGTTGCCGTGATCTGCAAACCGACGGATCGAGCGTCGGTGCTGCTTGGCAGCATCAAAGCGGCCTGCAGCTTGGAAGACATTTGCCAGGCTCTGTCGGTGAAGGTCACCGTGGTGGTGACCATGTGCGCAAATGAAATGGAGATTCGAGGCGCCCCAAAGGATTGGGCGCAGTATTTCCAGCAAGAGCTTGGTATCGATCTTATTTAGTGGTTTATATGGGAATTGCTATGAAAAAAAAACAGTTGTCACGTGTCATTTGTGTCATCATGAACGGTTTGTTTTTGATTTGCTGTAGTGAAACTGTGAGTTTAGGCGTGTGGAGTTGTCATGTTGAACTGGCAGTTGACTGTAGACTTGTCGGTCGTTGGTTGGCGAAGAACTGTAAGCGGTAGAGTTCACAGTCTAGAGATCAGCATCGACATAGATTTGCAGTGAGTGTCAATCCACATGTAAGGCATCGGTGTCGCGAAGCCATTTTCTTTGCTGAGTCTGGGAAGTAATCTCGGTTTGAACTCAATGGAGGATAGTATTCGTCTGTGGATAGCTCTCGCCCCACCACAGATGGAGGAGCTGCGGACGCATCATAGAATCCAGCCAGACATCTTTACCTCCAGGATCGATTTGAGTGCGACTCAAATGCATCTTGGGCGTGCCACAGATGTTCAATGGTGTCACACTTACAACTACTTCGATTACAGCTTCCTCCAGGTAGAAATAACTGCTCTGGGTTACTTTCGAAAGATGGAGGCAAATGTCTTGGAGAAGGTCCAACCTGGTGAGTTTCGTTGGTATGGATTTCTTGTTCCAGAAGAACGTGATGAGCAGGGAAGATTGCTCTATCAGATCATCGACCCCATGGTTGCTAATGAGCCGGTTCATGAGCGTCCTGCTAGGAACTGAGGAATGCGAGATGATGCGCGGGATGCGCTGTAGTGCCACGTGTTTGTTGCCGTGTGCTTTTGCGTTCAGTACTCATTTGCGGAAGGGACTGTCCGAGCAATGGGGAAATAACGCAGTTCCACTGGCATTGTCTGCACGATCGCGCTTCGCGGCTCTTGCTTCGAAAAAGACAGAGTTTAGTGGTTCATCTCTGTGCGAGGTGCATTGTCCTCAATCAAAATTTGATGTGAATGCATGTGTTTGAGACGCGGCATGCGGCACCGAGGATATCACGGCGTGACGCTGCATGCGCAGCTCCCATACTCGGGCAAGTAGTGTAAGATATGTTAATTGCTGCCTTAGCTTGGTATCGATCTTATTTAGTGGTTTATATGGGAATTGTTATGAAAAAAAGTTGTCACGTGTCATTTGTGTCATCATGGTACCGAGCCTCTTTTGACGATGGGATCGGGTGCCATGTCGAACTCAGGAGCCATGTGCTCAGTTGCATGTAATTCTCATGTTTAGAGTTTGCTCTGCAATTTGCCGGGGTGAGAAGCAGTGGTTCGGTCTTGACCTTGCAGGTCGTTCTCCAGAGAATGGTGCTTTGTTATCACAAGCTCAGGAGTCGCGATCCCAGTCTTGAGCTTCAGCGAGTATACTTTGCGTCCCTTCATAGAAATTCATTGTTTTCTGCCATATGATCTCTTTGCTTCATACATTGATGTAGATTAATCATTCATGGGCTCAGATTCACATAAAAGATTGGAGAAGACAAGCATCACGCAACTGGAAACAACGTACCATGTAGCATGACCAAAGTGTGTAGGCGTGCGGGACAAGAGGCCCTCAAAGGTTGTGGCACTTCTCGAGGTTTCTGAAGGGACTGTCCGTGAGATCTCGAGATTTGACACATTCTGAAAATATGATAGGTGTGTAAGTTCTTATGATATGTTTAGATTTGGGAATCTTGAAATTATGAACAATTTACAGGCTTCCCTTCAGCTCACCATGAAGATTCAGCCTCTGACCGTTCTTGCCTGACCTGTTTATGCCATGGAGTACCGCTGCATTTTAAGAAGATTTCATTTCAGGAACATCGAGGAGAACGAAGAGAACTCTCATCCCATTTCCTTTTCATTGAAATCTGCAAAAGATCTTGATTGTGTGGATGTTGGGATGCCACTATTTGAGAGTGTCACCCGCGATCCTGAGATTAAAGGTTTCAATCCTGCGATTAAAGGATTTGTTCCGAAGGTGGAAGACCAGATACAGCTGACAGTGAAACAACAGTCGTGGCTACTTGTCGAAATCCCCACCCTTTCAGATTATGAAAATTATGCGTGGGCTGCACTGAGACCGGCACGCACAATACTGTGGGAAAGACATGCCCAGGAGAGAAGTGATGGTTTCTACTCTCCTCCAGGGTTCATACCGCGATATCCTGAACCTGGTAAATGGTACAAACGTCGACCAGGCAGTGAATACATGAGTTGCTCCCAACATCCATGCAACTGTCAGAAGTTGCGTTTTTTGGTGCGTCTCAGTGATGCTTTGTCGCAAGCTGCAGTGGATTGCACGCAAGACTGGTTTTTTCTAGATTTGCCGATTTTTGCTTCTGCTCCTACAGAAACTGTAGGTGACCTGCCTTTGTTTGCCGCTGAATTGGTTGGAAACAACCGACTGCGAGCGGGCTACTTGGCTCTCAGCGGAGGCCTTCCCAATTCGCGATTGTGGCAATGTAAGACACCCTTACTTGTTGTTTGGAATCACTTGCACATCGCCTCGCTGAAGCTCACTGGGGAGGTTACTGCTTTCACCTCTCTGAACTCTGCCGACCACACATCGCAGCTAGGCATGAATGAAGATGCAATGAAAGAAGAAGGTGAATACTTTGCCATGGCGTCCATATCCAGTCTGCCAGAGTGGGTGATATCTGACGAACTCAAAGAACTTCGAGAGAATCGTGCAACTGGTCCTTGCCGTTTGCCTCATGAAGAGCTAAAGGCCATCCAGTCTGAAGAGCAGCACAATGTCACGGCTCGTATATCAGGGAAAAGCAAAAAAAACAAGAAGCGTTCCCCCAACTCAGGCTCTGCAGCTTCTGCAGCAAGCACTCCGAGCACTGATGGTGCGCAAAGTCGCCTAGTCAAACGAATTTCTTTCCAATAGAAGCAGCCGTTTATGAGGAGGTGGTAGGTGGTTGCGTTTATGCGCAGGATGGATTCTAGCTTCATATGTTTATAGCAATGTGTACTTGCGTTCGGTACTCATTGTGGAAGGGACTGTCCGAGCAATGGGGAAATAACGCAGTTCCACTGGCATCGTCTGCGCGCTCAGGCTTCGCAGCTCTTGCTTCGAAAAAGACAGAGTTTAGTGGTGCATCTTTGTGCCATGTTTTGGGATATGTTTCGGATAGTTGTAAGAACTTGAACTAACTGTTTGTGGATGCTCATTATGAATTGCAGTTGTGTACTTGCACTTCCTTGCCAAGATGTTGTCCTGTCACGGTGTTTGCGTTGATGGCTTCACGCTGTAGGCTCAAATCCATTGACCAATTTGGGCATCATGTGCAAGCAAGATGTGTCAACAAAAACGAAAACAGTTGCATGCAGAATGTCAAACAAGCCACGGTTTTCTGTTGGGACTGTCCGCGAGACCGCGGCTTGTGCAAGAGCCATTGATTTCTGCAACATAGCGTAAAATCACTGCCAAACACGCACTGTTATAATTTGTTTCTCACTTGCCTTCTTTGGTGCTGCATGCACCTATTCGCGGGCCTCTTGTCACCGCGGTCTGAAAACATGTCTTTGCAAGAAGTGACTTTGGAACGCATTACGAAGAGCAACACCCACATGGTCATGGTGGTTTTGCGTCCGGTGTACCATGAAATGAAGCAGTTGCCTGGAAAAGATAAGGGCACCTGGTGGAAGTCGATCGTTCGGCTCGTGGATCAAAAGGGACAGGGACTCTATGCAGAGATCCGGGGATCTTCTGAGAGCGGTGTTCGCAAGCGGGCCCAGGAGTTTTACCAACCCAAATACATCCAATTGACGCAAGCTGTTGTAGTGCAGAATTCACTTTTTTTGTCCGGTTTCTCTGCCGATGTCACGAACAAGGGCAAGGTGTCGCCGGTGGCAGAGGCTCATGCCAGTGCGATGAAGTTGCGCGGCCTTTTCCCCACCGCCAGGTCCAACTTTGGTGTTTTGGCGGAACATTCCGAAGGAAAGGAGAGGGCGGATGTCATTGGAAAGGTGACCCGGAAGGAGACGCCCACGATGAGAGTCCAAAAGATGACATTGTGGCTGAAGGATGAGTCTTTCAACGAACTGGCTGTGCATCTACTTGGATGACCGGCGTGGTTGCTAAGTAGTTGTTGCCTGTTAGCAAAGATACAGAAGTGACTTGGCAAACTTATAAAGGCACACATATGGCTTGCATAGAGGGCTACTTAGCGGCAACTTATGAGGTATACATAGGGTGAGATACAGAAGCTTGCTATGTATGCCATGGCATACTTACTAAGTATATTAAATGGCTAAGGGCACACATACTAAGTACACCAAGACTGCTTATGTAAGTAATTTAAGTGGCACTGGCGCGCTTGCTATGTAGGCCATGGCGGACTTACTAAGTAGGCCAAGGCGGCTTACTAACTAGGCCATTGAAGATTCTTATAGTAGGTAATGGCGGATCTTTAAGTGCAGAAAGAGGAGGCCGAAGTGGATAATATATAGAGAAAAATGCATTGATTTCTTCTGGGCTGTCAACTTGGAATAATTTTTCACCGCAAACTTCAAATCGGAAACTTGAAACCTGTAAACATGGACTTGGGACGGCCGAGCCTAAAGAAACAAGAAACTGAGCTATGTTGACCTGCTGAGTCTTCGAAGCTATACTTAGGGTTGCAGACGAAGACATTGAACACACATGAAACTCAGCTGCATTGTTTTTCCAAGAGAGCGTTTGCCAACAATGCGCATTGCCCAAGAGGAGTCTGCATGCAGAGCCTCCAGGATGGCAACAAATTGAAATCAACCAATGATATAGGTGGCTGATGGAGTGCAACTGCATGCGAGCCTATATAGCCCAGCATGTTTGTTGCACCTTCGTGACAGTTGCAGTGATGTTGATGTGTCCGGATCTTCCTGGCGCGCAAGGTTTGGGAATGGATCTTTAACTATAGGCGATTGTGATGCATCTATCACAAAGCAGGCTGGGCAATGGCTCGCTTGTACTCTGGAGGTGACATATAAAAAGCCAACAATAGAAATCCAACTCTGGGGGAACCTTGTTGAGACATTACAACGACACCAAAAGACATGAAGCTTTCAGCCTATAATCGAAGGCAGGTTCTCACAAACAGCCTGCAAGATTCTTTTTATCATTGTCACTCACGCCGTCATCAGCCAATTTGCGCTACCAGCTCGCCCAAGTAGAGCATCCGGCAACTGCAGCCTGATTTTCAGGCATTGGCTTAAAGATGCAAGTGTCTCGAATGCACTCCAGCCCGAATAGAACTGGATCCAAACCTTCGCAATTGAATATGTTGCTTCCCAACGGCTCCCAAGGTTGAAGGCAGACCCATTCAGCATCATCTACAGAAGCAAAAAACAAGACTTGGCCTAGCAAAGGGTCATTGAGATCTTCCACATGACAGATCACCACATCATCCTTGAAGACACGGGCTCCTGGTGCGTAGTAGGCAGAACGAGCCACCTTTGCGACACGGAACGCGCCCAAAGTTCGATACAGCAATTGCTTGGTCGCCATCGGAGCGTCTTGGGGCTGGCATATGCCGCCGTAGAAGGATTGATCTTGGTCTTCCAGCAGGGAGTCAAGCATGTCGCACGCGGCATCCACCATTACAGATCTCTCCCAGGCACTCCAAGTGTTGCAGATCAACTGAGCATGTCGCTTGATCTCTTTGTGCTTCCGTTCGTGGCAAAAACACGACACAAGTGTCCCATGCCTCTGCAACATTCTGCAGAGATGGAGGCTGTAGTGATGCTTTGGCAAGAACCGTGTATCTCGATATGCATCCTTGAAGGCTGACAAATGTGCCACAACTGCAACCTCCAATGCTCTCGGGGTTGTCTTGCCCAGTTTGACCTGTTGAAGCAAATCCAAGACATGACACAGTCGAAGATATGAGTCGCACTCAGCACGGATGGCGTGCAAATCCTGTGTTTGCATTGCTTCAAGGAGAAACAATCTTAATACACTGTAAACTGACAGGCACTCACTCGCCGAGCACTTGATGTCTTCATTTTGATCTCCCTTTGCAAAGATTTTTGTCCTGTGACACCGCGGCTTCTGATAGCTTGCGGCCAGATAAATTTTTGAAGTTCCTCATGTAGATCAGCTTGCGTGATGCCGATTTCCTGGAGCTTCGCCACGAGGAGGCCAGCCTCCACATTCCAAAGTCCAGCCACACAAAAGCAATGCATCCAGTCAAACATCAGGACGCTCACGGCTTTGATGTCCAGTTCCGCCGATCGCAAGAGTCCATGTGGGTTGTAGTTGAAGCCAAGAGCCTGGGTCATCTTGCTAAACTTTGCCTTGGACACTGGGCCGTGGGCCTGTTCTTCAAGGTAATCCAAGATCTTCTTAACGCTGGCATCAGTCTGGGCGTCCACCAGGGAAAGATCTATGGTCGTGCTCGGAACGAATGCATCCTGGTGATGATGGAGCTCCGACTTGTGGTCCACCAGATTGCGACATAAGGGACAACATATCGTTCCAGCTGCCCCTTTCATGTCTATCATCTCCTTCAGTGCCACCTCATCGGCCACAATGACGTCAACAGCAGCGAAGAGCATGGAGCAGTGCCCATCAGCGAACCGCACTTGAATCCCTTCCCGCACATCAATCGGCAAGATGAACTGCTCGAGGCATCGCCTGAAGTACTCAGACATTTTACCTGGCAGCCTCTTGACATGCTCTGACCGTGCGATGCCTGCCAAGAACCAACACCTCTCAGAGGAAAGTGCTACTGGTCCAAACTCCTTGATGCTCCAGTATATGACTTGCACCTTTCTCTCAAGCCTGTGAGCCAATACATTTCCAGGGCTGATCTCATCGGCACAAGCCAATATACTCAGTGGCTGCTGCCTGGACGGCTTGTAGCGATCGAGAACGTGCCGCATCATCCGCGCAAACTCAGACTCTTGCGCACAGAGGTGGTACAGCAAGGGGAGAGGCGCCAGAAACGGAAGCTCAACGCTCTTAGCCTTCATGGCCGGCTTCTTTGCTGTCTTCTTTTGCTCTGGCAGGGTCACAGAATAGGAAGACAGCAAGCATCCCAGCGGCGTCTGCACCTCCACAGTGGTGTCCCTTTGCCTCTTCACCGTCTGCCTGGAGATTGCCGATGGAAACTCTCTGTCTTTGAGGTCCTTCAGCACGGCTTCCAAGCCACTGCGTGAGATTACGTGGCGTCTACCAAGTCGTCCAACTTCGATCGCCATTGCATGCAATGATGGCTCGTGCAGGCGTGCCACAAGTCACAGCCTGTTTAAAGCCACCATGCAGGATATGATTTGTTGTTTTGAAAAATAATAAGGGCATGTATTTCGATGCTCATTCCATGTGATAATTGCCACACAATAGACAGCCACGATGGCAAGAACATGCCTTTCGATTTCGTTACACAAATGAGAACCATCCATGATACAAACCACCACTGCGAAGGTCGCTTTATGCCGAGCGAAATAGGTGTGTTTGACACGTGATGCATGTCAAGACCAGATACCGTCCATTTTATTGAAACATGATGGAGTTCCATGATATGAACGATGCCACTGTTTTTGACGAATGTTACTGGCACATCATTCTTGAATGTTGAATGATTTAAATCATGCCACTGCATGCGAGCGCGATGCGCCCAGCATGCTGGTGATCAATGTGTGAGCCTCCAGTGGCCTCCAGTAGACGAACTGCCGCAGATAGTTGGTCCTGACATGTTGCGGTGGTCCGACATGAGCAGAGATATAAACTGAAAGACATACTGTGAAACATCCTTCAAGTGCAGTGATATCGGTTTACCTGTGTTTGAAGTGCAAGTTTGGTTTTGGGCAACTGCAATGTGTGTTTGAATTCAAATGGAAATTCAAAGACATGTCCCACAACCGGACAGAACTAGATAGGAAT